ATAATTTGTTGAAACAAACTCAAATTTTGTAATCTGATAGTTTGATGTGAACCTTTGATATTTTACAGAAAGATTATTTTGATCTAACAAAACTAATATCTTGAAATATTAAGGGTCTCTGGCCTTGGGTTGCAAAGATATAGGGATTAGAAATTCAGAGTTTGTGGCAACAAAAACTCAATTCCTTTGAGTTGGAGGCAAGTGATTAGTTCATTTGAACATATCTTTGAGTTGGAGGCAAGTGATTAGTTCATTTGAAAATATCTTTGAGTTGGAGGCAAGTGATTAGTTCATTTGAACCTATCTTTGAGTTGGAGGCAAGTGATTAGTTCATTTGAACCTATCTTGCCAATTTTCCCAATGACAAACAACGGTATGTTTGGTTCTCATAAGAAATCTCCTTCATCTGGAAAATATTTAGTCTATGTCCAGGATTAGGGAATGCAAGATTTAATCTAAATATGACAAAGTGAAACTGACCAAATACGGACTGTACGAACATATTTCACGAGGGGTTACATTTATCTGATTCAACTAAGATGATTTATGTTACGTATCTACCAAGAATGTCATCAGCGTTTTTTTAACTAAACCATGGCAAAAACAGTAGAATTTTTTTAACAAGAGCTATTGTAACTAATGTGAGCTCAATAGCTCGGAATAGGAATAGTTCCATTGATGCAGTTTTCATAAAACCCAGAGCTAAACTTAGATTGGATAGTTCCAGTGATGTAACCCCATCAGTCCTCATTCGGATTGCAAGTATTCCGGCCTACAAACAGGCCAATAGTTCTTTTGTATATATCTATAGGTCGGACAGAAAATGGGGCGGATGATAAGTGGCTAACGTGGAGAATTATTTGTGCTTAGAAAATGCCAACCCAGAAAACATACTTTGAACATACTTTGAACGCATGGAAAACCGAAGCCACTGATGCCTCAGATCCTGATTTAAATTCAAGCCAATAGGCACGAGCCACAGCTTAGAAGGAGAATATAGGATCAGCCTGGGCTAAAACCTAAATAGAGTCAGTATTCATGAAGAGTCCATGAAGACGGAAGATTAACTTGTAGTACAAGGCGAATGTGTCCAGAGTTCGTCAGAGAGCTCCGGCTTTCCATGATTCATTTTTATTTCTTAATTTTTTACTTGTAAATATATTTTTTCTTATGCTCTGTAGATTTACTCACATCAATTTTAAGGCTTTAGGTTTCCTTCATTTCATACCACTTTTATATGGTAACATGGTGACATGCTTCAATTTTCAAGTATGCCTTTTAAAAAACCAAACATCCCTAACTGATCTGTTTCAGTTTACAATAGTTTGTGATTGTATTTTGACTTAACCCTTGTCGAGACATGAAAATAACCTAAGTAGAGCCAAGCCAGCAAACTGTTCTCTGAATTTGAGACAAGTTCATTCTAATCTGCTAATTCTGAGAAGCATTTTTTTACAAGTCCAGTTTATTGTGGAAAAGTTATGTGTTAAAAGAGGAAAAATCATATTTAATAGTGTGTTTCCTTAAATTAGGCTTTATTTTAATATATGTACTTACAAGGACATAAGTTGGGGATCTGGAAAAGTTGTTAGTAAGGACATTCATGACAGCACTAACTTTTAAGATACAGACAGTGAATAATCATATTTTTTTAGTATGGAAGAAACAGACGCAGAACGTCTGGAACAGGCCCCTGCTGCCACCCCCCCCCCCTGGCTGGGTCCCTATCTCAAGCAATGGATGTTGGAACACACCAAACTTACATAGAAAATAGAATCGGTGGAAACGGGTATAAGCTCGAAACGACCCTGAACCAAGAGGAAGTATTAATGTCAGACAATACTCGCAAGGCCTTATTGCCCAAGTTCAGGCAGAATCTCTAATTAATGCTTCAAAACAAAGTGAAATCTGCATCATGGAGGTGCATGGATGGTGCAAAGCAAAGTTCTCCAATCAGAAAACCCGAAGCAGGAAACGAGGCGGACCCAGCATACTGCAGGAGTGTTCACGGTCTTCAACTCACAGGGCACTTCAATCCTGGACGGAGCAGTTAACATTGGACGAACAGGTAATACCAGTTTTATAAATTGTAAGCTTTTCATTGACACAGGGGCACTTGTTCTTCGTGAGTATTGCCATTTCAGAAGAATTTTTTGTAGTCAGATGGGGGGAAACACAGAAAATTACAAGCTTTGAGGTCAGCAAAGAGGGCGTCAACAAATACGACAATGATTATGTTAGGTCGGAGTAGAACTTAAGTAAGTATTTTGTAGGATTAATATTACTTTTTCAGGAGAAGCCATTGTTCTTAGAAATTAACAACAGTTTAAGATCATTATTGACCCCTATCTCTGCTAAACTTGTTCACACTCCCTCCCACCAGAGTCAAGATTTAATTGCAAATGTTTTTGGTATTATTTAAAGAAT